ATGAACTCCTTTAACTTGACCTTATCTGGGAAGCACTATATCTGACCTTCCATTCTAAATGATATCCTAGGCCTGTGGGTCGCTCCAATGAACTTTCCTGTGAGGCTGGGAGTTTCTCCTCCTGCCTCAACCCCCACAGATTTTTTTAGTCAAATGTTTTGAGGCTTTATCTCCCTGCACTGGAAACCTGGGTTGCACAGTCTCTCTTGCTCCCCAGTTGTTCCTCCTGGTTTATCTATGCACAAATGTGGGACCATCTGGTCCTCCAGTCACTGCCTTGCCATAAGTCCTCTCCAGCTGGTTGCCTGTCTCCACCCTTCCTACAGGTCTGGATGAATGTTTATTCTTTAACTCCTTGGTTGTCAGACTTCCATACAGTTTGATTTTCTATCAGTTCTGGTTGGTTTTGTTTTTAAATTTGATGTCCTTCTCTTGGCTGTGCAAGGAGGCACAGTGTATCTACCTATGTCTCCATCTTGTCCAGAAGTGCACATAAGTTTCCAATTTCTTATTCTTTCTCTTCCCCTTCCAGCACTCTTATGATTCAATTGTTGATATGTTTGAAGTTGTCCCAGAGGCTCCTCACCCTATCCTCACTTTAAAAAAAACTATTTTTTCTTCTTGCTGTTCTGATTGAATTGTTTTTTCTTCCTTATGTTCCAATCATTGACTTGATTCTCATTTTCATCCCCTCCACTGTTGATTTCATGCAAACTTTTCTTTATTTAACTTAGTGTAACCTTTATTTCTGCCTGTTTTGTTATGCTGTTGAAGTACCCAGTGAGTTTCTTGACCATCCTGATAACCAGTCTTTTTAATTTCATCTGATAGGTTGCTTATGTCCATTTTGTTTAGTTCTTTTTCTAGAGTTGTGTTCTGTTTTTTTTTTTATTATTATTTGGGCCATGTTTCTTTGTCTTCTCATTTTGCCAGCATCCTGTGTTTGTTTCTGTATATTAGGGAAAGCTGCTTTGACTCTCTGTCTTAGTAGCATGGCCTAATGTGGAAAAGTGCACCCTTAAGTTGGATGGGGTGGATCCTTGGGTAATCACTTGGACAGAGCCACCCATGTGAACTAGGTTGATGGAATCTCAGATATGGTGTTGCTGCTCCATGGATCTGTGTGGAGGAGGGCTCAGAAAAATGGACAATCGCTGCTGTCTAGCCTCTGGAGCTTTATCTGGAAGTAAGCTGTCTCCTAGCACTAGCCCTGACACCAGACACTTCAGTCTCTCCCAGTATGCTACTGGTGCCCCTTGAGCTGTTGTGTCAGTGCTGGACCCCAGAGGGAGTGAGTCTGCCTAAGTCCATTGCAGACCCATTAAGTAAGAGATGCCAGATAATCCCTCTGTTTCTTCTTCCATCCCATCCCACTGGTTTTTATAGGCATAAGTTCATGAGGACTTATCTTCCTGGCACTGGAACCCTATGCTGGAGAGCCTGGTGTGGGGCAGAGATCACTTCCTCCTGAAATATTCTTCTCAATTTTTATCCACAAAATATGTGTGTGTGCAACCACCTATTCCATGTCTCTGCCCCTCCTCCTTGTCTGAAAGCATGTGATTTCTTTAATTACTTGGTTGTCAGATTTCTATATAGTTCAGTTTTCTGACAATTCTGGGTGATAGTTGTTTTTTGTTTAGTTGTAATTTTTGCTGTGGTTGTGTGAGGAGTCAAGTCATATTTACCCATGCCTCCGTCTTGACTGAAAATTTCCTTTTGTTTATTTTAATCTAAGGTTCTCATTCTTGTGGTGTGTTCTCAGGTACATGAGCAACCTCAAGGATAAGTAGACAACAGCTCTTGTCTACACAGCAATAATATTTTTTTGTTGTTGTTTTATCACCATGGAGAACAACTATTTGGAGTGCAGAGCCTATTGAATTATCTAATTTCTCCTAATTAGAGCTTTCTTATTTGCCATAGTGTCCTCTTGAAACACGTTTGCCTTCAAGGTTTAATGGAAGACTACATTTTAATTGGATGGCCCTGTTACTTGATGTCCTACTGAAAGGTTGGAAATTGTTCTGAATAAGAATAGGTGGTGCAGAGGTTTAGGGAGGCTGGGCCAGGTGAAAGACACAGAGGGGAATCCAATATTAAGCGAAGGTTGTCTATACATGTGTAATAAAGTATTCCTGGTCCAGGACTCTAAACCCAGGGTTTAAGATTTGCTTTACATACCAGATCCATCCCTCTGTGGTGGATTAGGCCTACCATGCACAACAAGGTGTATGTGTGTGTATTTGTAAAAAAATATATGAGTTGGTAAAGATAGGTTTTAAGAAAAATACCTCTGTACCCATCTTGACCTGCCCAGGGATGGATATATAAATCAAGGAGTAAATGGTTTAACCTTTAAAAATTCTGAGCTTTCTTCCTTGGCTTCCAGAGAGACCATAAGCAATAGCTTCTTTTTGGTGCCCTGAGCCAGTGTTCTTCCTTTCTACAGCAGAGTGTTGTGGTAGCTAAAGGAGAAAGCGAGGGTTGTTTGTATGCTGCGAGATAACCACAGACTGTACTGAAAGGGGGCAAATGCAATAGCGCACACTGGGTGATGTGTTTCTGATCCTAAGTTCTTGTTTTCCCCAAATGATGCCACTCTTTAGTTATTGTATTTGCATAACTTAGTGATTGTTAGGTGGTCTAGTTTGTGTGAATAAAATATGTTGGTCTCTCTCTATGTTCTTTTGGTGCTTTACTGTTGAAATCCTTCTTTTTATATTGAGAAGAGTAGGTAAAGCATCTTTGACAAAAGATTTTGTACCAGGCAAAATGATCTGAAACATAATCTTGAAGACCCTTCTTGACATGGAGCCTTGAATCATCCTTTTTTTGTTTGCTTGTTTGTTTCTCCTTCTCTTACTTAATCTTTTGGACCAGATCTTCTGTCCTAAAGACTTCTCTCCTACCCTATCTCCTCTTCTATACACTGCCTACAAAATCTTACCCCCACATTTAATTTGTGGGCTGTCTCCCCCAATTCTTTTGGTTTGCAGGCCAGTGCTCAAACCACTGAGCTACACCAGCCAAGGCCTCAATTCTTAAATAATGTATGCAAAATACCTGGAGAAGCTAAGATTACTCCATTCCTTGTTTCCAATCTCCTGAATCAACACCATTCCTTGATAGGTGATTAATTCTAAACACTTGGATTGCTGTACATAAATGGATCAGGCATATTTTAATCTTTAATCTTAGAAGCAATGATGAGGCCTTCCACTTTGAAAACAGGGTCAGAAGACCAAGAAAGGGAAGATGAATGTATACCCAAGCCACTCAGGAACTCTCATGCAAGAACCTTATGTCAAAGTAGCCACAAGATTGTCTAATAGGAAACAAATGAATGTAACTTCATCTTTACTGATAGAAACCAAAGCTTTGTGTGAAATCTTGAATTTGTGGAGAGGGAAGGTAAGAAAGCATGCACCTGTTTGTTCTTTCCCTGATCCCTTCCCCTCATTCCTGAACTGCAGCAGACTGAGCCTTGTTGGGCTTTGGTGACCACCGTTGCTGGGGACTTTATATTGCTGTATCAGGTGCTTCCATTTGCTATCTATCATTTGGTAAGTTACTAACGGTTTCACAACCAGCTTGCAAAATTTATGAATATGTTAAAACCCACAAGTTAGTTGGCTTCAGCACATCTGCCTGAATATAATACCCTCAGGATATGTTTAGAAAACCAATCATCCTTTAGTCCAACCCAGGAAATTTGGACAGCTCATAGGGGGCATTTTGGAATCAGACTACCCCAACTGACTCAGTAATTCCCATCCACAAGTGCTCAGTGTTGTGCTGCTCACCATGAGAAATATGGAAGGTATATAAGACATGAAGCTAGTCCACAGGAATGAAAAAAATGGTATAAAAATTGCTTAGTTAAAGCATGCAGGGTAAGCTGAGCATCTGAGAGGGTTGCACAGAGAAGATGAGTCTCAAGTTCAGGACACTGGCTTGGTTGAGCTCCCTTTACCTCTCTACACACATACAACACAGAGGCAAGATTTGATCAGGTTAGTTCTATGACACATTTTAATCCTGTAACATTTGAACTGTGCTGATATGGCAGATGGTTTACCCTTGACCAGAATGAAAAGACCCTAGAGGATTTCAAGTAAAATGACCCCAGCAAAGGATAAAACAGACACTGGGATTACCTTTCCTCCTGTCTGGCAGCATAACAACAGCAGTGATGACAATGTGACCTTCAGTGTACATATAACACTTACAGTCTACAGAAAGCATCTTCTCATGGACAATATCATTTTATAAACAAGAAAGAAATTCAAGATGTCACTTATCTTGCCTAATATCACTCCACCAGAGCCAAGTCCAAGATCCAGGCTGGTCTCAATCCAAAGATAGTGTTTTGTCCTTTCTATCTCATAACTACTACACCCACCCATCTACCCATCCATCTGTTCATCAGATATTTATAGAATACCTGTTCTGTGACAGGTACAGCACTAGGCACTGAGATATAAAAGTTAACAGGCATAATGCTGTTGGTCACTGCCGACAGGTGCTGGGGTTACATGAGGTTCTCTTCTGTAGTTCTGCCAGAGTCCAGAAAAGGGCTTCAGCATGTGCAGAGCAGTATGTCTTAACCTGGACTCTTGCTGAAGCTGAGTCCACAAGTCTTTGAAGGACAGACAGGCTAAGGTGCCAACTGAGGGCCATTGCTAGAGAAGGGGCCCAGAGCAGTTCAAAGATCTCTCTGCCAGCACTCTTCTGTTCTTTCTGGACCACAGAAGGTCGTAGACCCATTTTGTTTCTGAGTGCATGGCTTCTCCTCCTGAATCCAGCTTTGCTTCAACCCAAGGAGAAACTCTTCTGTTTCTTCTATGAGGGCTTCTTCTCTATGACTACAACTTCCACAGCATTTGTCCCCTCCTAACTTCCTTTGTATATTGTTGGCTAAACTTACTTGACAGCATGAATGCTTCATAAATGCATAAATCCATCATTTTATCTTATAACCTTTTTCTCATCTTCAGATCCTGTACCTAAACCTGTCATAAGGAATGAGAAAACACAGAGAGTGAACGACACCTGTTTTCTGATCCTGAGATGTGTGATCCCAGATAATACATCCATCCAATACTTCTGGTATAATTCCTCAGGGCCTTTCTCAGAAGAGCCCCAGAGTGATGTGCTTAACATCTCCTTTAAGCTACAAGACTACTCCAAGTTTTACACATGCCAAGTCAGCAACTCCGTGAGCAGTAGCAATGACACATTCTCCTTTCCTTCAGACTGTACATCGGGTAAGAAATACTCCTAAGGGACCTGTTGTGGGCTCAGAGTCATTAGTTTTCTCTTGAATGAAGAAAGGTGTGTGGTTGCTATTCAGCCTCCTGGCACAGAATTTGGTGGAGAATTGCAGAGGCACCTGGGAGACTTGGGTTCTACTCATGGCTCTGCTAAGACCTCCCAGTAAATTCACTTTAGCTTTGTGGAGCTCAGTGTCCTCATCTGCAAAGGATGGTTGCATAGGATGTCCCCTTTCTTCACCTGCTCTAACAATGCATGGTCCTTGAATATGCACCAGGGTAATTGTAGGACGATTTGAGATATCATGATAAGAGGACAGAAAAAGGACAAGTGGAAGAGCAGGCCACATATTGTTGAGCAGGTGTACCAAGGGGTTTCTGGTAGACAGCCTAAATCAGCAAAAGAAAAGCCAAGGAAATGAGCTTGAGTAAAAACAAGTAGTGAACAGGAGTGAGAGCCTTATCCTAAGGTAGAGACACTCTGCTCTCCCCAACTGTGTGCTTCTTGATGAATTTAGGCAAGGAAATTCTGGGTTTTATGTTTCACATTTCTCTGTCTCCTGGGAGTTTCTACTCACTCACTTGAGCATCACTCCTATCTCTCTACCAAACCTACACAGATCCTAGAGTGAGGTAGCTTAGATCAAGTAGTAAGTTCATAGGTTTTGGAGTCAGATACCTGGGATTAACTCTAGGAATGTCACTTATTAGCTAAGCAAGTTACTTAGCTTCTCTAAGTCATGTCCTATTAAATAGCAGACAAAATAATAGTTTTTATCTCATGCTATTGTAAGGATTGAATGAGACAATACAAATAAGTCATTACAGTGTCTGACAGGTTTTCAGTGAGTGGTAGCTAAATTATGCTCATTCCCTTCATTTTGGGAGACACTAAGGGTTTGGGGACCCCATTAGTAAATATGGATCACTATAATCAGCATTCAGGTCTCTTACTCTTCACACCCCTGAAGTCACATCTGTGAGCCCTGATATACATATCCTTCTCAAATAACTCATACCAGTGATGGTGACATTTACCTGAGATCCCTGTCAAGCCCTGTCAGGCACCATGGCCCCTAAAGACACTGCTCTTTCATGATCCTTTCAGATCCAGTCTACTCTCTCACCATGCTGATTTCTGTGCAGGTATCTCTGCAGACACAGGTAGACTATGGAACTTGTATTCTCTTCTTTATTCTTTCCAATTAACTGGTCATGTCTCTTCTAGTTGCCTGATATTTTCTGCTTTTCTGTCACCTCAGACTCAATATGAAGTTTGGTGTCTGACTTTGAGACCACAAGTTGACTGGGCAGTTCTAGCACCGCCTTCATATCAAAACCATACCTGGAAATCCAGAAAAATAAAGACATGTAGTCCCTGCCGTTCATAAAATGAAGGAGAATGTTCATTTGCAGAGAGGATGAAAACAATAATGCATCAATTTTTTGAAAGGGCTAAACCTATCTTGTCACTTTCTAGCTGTCCAGATTATCCTACAAAAGCATTCCTAGCCTCCCTTCCCTATTTTGTCACTCATTCATTTTCTCATCATTTGTACTTCCTCCCCTCTCTTCCCACCTGTCTACTCTCCCCTCCTCCTCTGTTTTTATTCCCTTACATCCCTATCTCCCCTTCTAGTTGGTACAGATAGTTAATGGGGTGGATAAACAAGAAGGAGTAGAAGTCTTTGCCTCCCCAGGGTCAGCTGTGCATAGCATTTATGGTCATTTGTTTACATCTGGAGCTTTGCCCTACCTAAATGGTGTCCAGTGGAGAAGAGTGATTCTTTCCCAGGCCCACAGACATACAGAGTGACCTGCAAGCTGAAGACTCACTTGAACCAGTGATAGTTAAGGGAGTTCTGCATTATTTACACTTTACATCTGGGGAGATTGAGCCAGTCTGGGAAGAGGGTGTCCCGGGCACACTAGAACTGGATTCAGGGAGGAAACACACTCTCCTGCCCCAATAACAATGCCCATACCCCACCCTTTATCAATGTAGTAGTGAAGACACCTAAGTGTTTGGGGTTCTCTTGCCTTTTCAGCACGATCTTCTGGAGTAGCTTGGATTGCAGCATGGCTAGTGGTCATGATACCCACCATTCTTGGCCACCTACTGACCTGAAGCAAGCTTTCCTAATCCTGAAACTTGAAGACTGAAAGGTCTTACTTCTATCAGCAACCATGCTCTTAACCTGGAAGAAGCGCTGGCTCTATGGGATAGAGAAAGTGTGCTGAGGCATGTATAAAGATTTTCAAATTAGCTTTTAAAAATCATGGCTACAGTATGGTGATCATCAGAAAAAAATGGGGGCAGGGGAGAAGAGTGTAAAAGGAGATAAATGAGAGACTTGACTGGGGGTGGTGAACATACAATAAAATATACAGATGATGTAATATAGAATTGTGCACTTGCAACCTATATAATTTTATTAACTAATGTCACCCAATAAATTCAATTAAAAATAAATAATAAATAAAAGAAAAAAAAAGTTGAATGTCACAATTCAGGTTTGCAGACCTTCCATAACTGTAGGTTGAAATAGTATATTTACATCTGTATATTAAAGAGTAACTTAATAATTAATGGATAATGTAGCCATAATATGCTATTTAGACAAATGCTGGGTGGGGATAATCTCTTTTCTCAAATATGTAAGATTTTCTTTATGACATGCCATTCTAAATCTCAATTTAGAATAATTATTAAAAATATTATAAATCAACTTGCAAAAATAAAACTCTTAAGCATGAAAATAAAAATAAAAATCATGGCTAACTTTTTATTTTATATCCCCTAGTTGTTTTCCAACATACATATATAGATACACATGCATTTTCTTCCATCAAAAAATGTGATCAACCCTGGCTGGTGTGGCTTAGTGGATTGAGTGCTGGTCTGAGAACTAAAAGGATGCCAGTTTGATTCCCAGTCAGCACATGCCTGGGTTGCAGGCCAGGTCCCCAGTAGGGGGCATGTGAGAGGCAACCACACATTGATGTTTCTCTCCCTCTCTTTCTCCCACCATTCCCCTCTCTCTAAAAATAAATAAATAAAATCTAAAATAATGCAATCATACTATGCAATGTTGTATGCAATGTTTAAATAAATATTTAATATTATTGTCAAAGTGGATTCCTAAAGTTACCTCAAATCTGTCAGACAATTCCAGCTCCATCAGCCTGGAAAAATTGGAACATCAAGGTAAGTAGGGGAAGAGCCTGGGACCATAAGCCTTCACCTCCTGTGTGGCTGAAGAGTTAATTTGTGCTTTCTATGAGTCTTGTTCCCATACCTATGGTAGACCTCCTTGTGATCCAACACTCCCAAACTTCCCCTTCACCAAGTTCTGGCCTCCTTCCTTGTGGCTTGCTTTCTTCTGGCTCCTCTGAGGAACATAATCAGGTTCCCTGGGAATATGGGGTCAGGCTTACTCCTCCAGAACTGAGTATACAGCTTTAGCACATAAAAGGGTCCCTCCCAAGCTTTTCATGGGGAACAGAGCTCCCCATCCTCTTTCATCATTGTTGCTGTGTGAGTAACTCTTCAAGTTTTAGTTGTGTCAGGGGATCCAATAAAATGATTAAATTGACTAAATATTCTCACCAGAGTCTCCCACTGTATTATGTCCAGCCCAGCATTGACATAATAGTTGGAATTTTTGACATAGGCTTTTGTCCTCTGAGGCTCCCCATAGGCCTTTAACTAAAGAGGATCACTAAAGGGTAGGTTTCTTGGACACCAAACTATCCTTCTCCATATCCAGTCATCTGTGGCAGAGGCAAATGCTGTGCAAGCTTTTCATTTTCCTCCTGGGCTGTGAAGGTTAACTTTAAGTGTCAACTTTACTAGGCCATGGAGATGGCCAAACAGTTGGTCAAACATTATTCTGGATATGTCTGTGAGGGCATTTCTCTGTGAGGTTAACATTTAAATCAGTAGACTGAATAAAGCAGATTACCCTCATCCAATCTGTTGTAGGCTTGAGCAGAACAAAGAAGGCTCACCCTCCTGAAAGTGTGGGGCAACTCCTCCTGCCTGACTGCCTTCAAGCTGGGACATTTGGTTTCTCCTGCCTTCAGACTTGAACTGGAACTACATCATCTGTTCTCCTGGGTCTCCCACTTGCCCACTAAAATCTTGAACATCCATGATAAGCCCCTCATTTGTTTTCTTATACATAAAACTTAAGGGGATGATTCCATGAACTCAAGCCATTTGTCTTTGTGCAAGGAAGATATACCAACATTTGCCCAAAGTTCTCATCATCAACTGAATGAAGTCCAAGGACAAGTTTTTCTATGTAGTTGGTCAGCATGCTCTGGATGCCCTACAGCACTGCCCTCTGCTGGCTCTACTGTAGAGGGTTTTGGTAAAACTTAAAGCCTTGGATTAGATCAGTGCTTCTCAAACTTTCTCTTTAAGTGCAGGATATCACCGAGTAGTCTTGTTAAAATGCAGAATCTAAGACAGTAGGTCTGGGATGAGAACTGAGATCCTGTGGTTCTAATGAGTTACCAGGAAATACAGATGCTGCTGTTCACACATCATTGTTTGAGCAACAAGGCACAAGATGTTTCCAGGCATAATACTGTTCTGACCATTAAGCTTTATGGTTCTAGGCCTGTCTGTGGGACTTGGTTCTCTCCTCCACTTTCTATTCTGTTCAGCTCCTGGATATCACACTCACAACCTTCTCAAGTTAAATTTTCCAGTGGTTCTTTAAAGGTTTCTGTGTTCCCTCGGCTCATTGACTGTGCTGCTAGGGACCAACTTGTTCTAACAGATAGCACCAGGTGACACATAGAAGGTTCACAAGGCCATAAACTGAGATAATTCAGCCTTTATTGGAAACTCTGCACAAAGAAAACACTTGGATTGGGCCCTAGTGTGGGGCCAAGTTGAGGAATACAGAAATTAGACCTAGATCCTCAGATCAATGAGTTCTTTTGTTCTCCATCCATATTTACCAAATGTTGGACATGCTGGGAACTGAGGCCCAGTACTGAGACCTGCTTAATGATAGCCAACATCCACAGTGCCCATCTATGTGTCCAGCTCTGTGCCACGTTCTTTACCTAACAGCACCCCTCTAAGGAATGGGGCTGTGTATCGGGAGAGGAAGTCTTTCCAAAATTCTTTATTGTGGTTTCAATTTAAAGTGGCTTCCTTGATTGTGTTTATTCTACACAACTCTTGCTGAGATCAGAACATTCTTTGAAAGTTTCCATCTTTTGTTTTCACTTCTTGTCCAGGAATAACAGGATCCACCACTTGCAGTAACTTTGGGCTAGTGCATTTGTTAAAGTGGCAGACTCTGCACCTACAGAGGTGTGCCCCTCTTTCCCCTCATCTCCTTCTCTCTTTTCTGCATCAGCTCTCAGAAGGCTGCATGGTGGCAGATGGGACAGATTTATCCCTGAGTCACCTACACAAGTTGCAAAGTGGTGACCGCAAATCCTTGTTTTCTTTCACCAGCTGCTTGGCCCATACCATGTGCTATAGTTAGGCAAGCTATAGCATGGGCCCTTTGCCCAGTTTCTTCTCCTTGATCTAAGCCTTTCAGTCTTCTCCCCTCTCTCTTCTACCATCTTTTCTCTTCTCAAACTTTTGTCACCCTCATTTTCTATCATCTTCCTGTCTCTTATTTTTCCTTCCCTCTGTTCCATCTCATCCTGTTGATTCAACATTTCTTCCATCACTCCTGCTTTTTACAGAGCCCTCGCTGTGTTCTGTACAACTCTGATGTTCCATCTGCCAACAAGGGTCTCACAGCCTGATAGTTAGTGACTTGGTTGGTTTCTTTATTTCCTTATTGGAAGTAACAGGAGCTATGGTCCTCTCAGTAACTGCTTCCCAGCCCACTGACCTGTGTGCCTAGAAGTCCAGCTGAGTGGAGGTTCCCTGTGGAGCAGACAGCATAGCAAAAACATTGATTCATTCTCTCAATACATATCTGTAATGGGATTCTTGATGAGACTTTTCCCAGTGCCTCAAACTTATAGAGCTAAGACAAAGAGACTTCACATTCCAAAAACAGTTATAAATAAGCAAGAAATGGCACCACCCCTAGGCTAAGTAAGAGGTGATCAAATTGATTTTGCTCCTCTAGCAATCACTTCAGCAGTCTTCACCCCCATTCTGTATAAATAGAAGATTAGAGAGAGATAAAATCATCATGATTAAAATTGTTGGAGCTGGGAGAGACCTGTGGTTTTTCTCTCTTCTGCATGAATGAAATCCCCTTTCCATAATGCCAAATGAAAGAGGCTTCAAAAGCACCACTTGAAAGATTCAAGAAAGACAAAAGAAGTGAAGTCTCTCTCCTTGGTTGGGCAGTAGAATTGTTCATTTTCCAGAAGATAGAAACATTGCTTTGGGATGAGATGGGGAGCAGTCTGCACACTCACTGTTTGGCATGGCAAGGTTGTAGAGGTTTCCACAGAGGACACTGCAGAAGGTAGCTAGTCCTCAGTTGTCTTGCCACCCAGCCACTAAGTAGGCAGATTCAAGGAGACAGTATGGATGATACATCATCAGTGAGAGCTGAGTGAGAGGAGGGTCAGAAAACGCCAAGCCAGAGAACATCTCCCACATTGGCACTCTTCAGTGAAGAGCTCCCCACTCCCACCAACCTTACTGTGGCCCCCAAAACACTAACACCTGTGCTCCATGAATGAGTCAATATTCAGATGTCTGTCAGAGAAGGTATCCACAGTGGATGGGTATTAGAGGAATAGAGAAAAACAGTAATAGCCAGGTAACTGACTAGTAGTTTGCCTCTCTGTCATGCTCCACATCACTGGAAAAGCTGGACCTAGGATGAGGTAACACAGGAGAAAAAGATGAGACTTCACCTTCCTCCTTGGTATAAATTTTTGGACCATGATACAAGCTTGAGCTGAAGTGACAGGAAAAGGTTAAAAGAGAGTTTTACTTTAAACTGTACTGTTCAATTACTAGAAGTGATAAAAATGAAACTTGAGGGATTTTCCTAAAATAGCCCTCAAATGATGAAAGGCAGAATTGACATAATCCTGATGTGAATGTGGGAAAAATATTAGTTCCCAACCAAGTTCAGACTATTAAAAAAACTGTTTTTATGTATTTAGTAAACAACTGCTCTAAGTTAAACGTCATTCTAGATTTATCACTGAGAAAGACAGACATAGTTCTTACTTTCATGCACATGATATTCTTGTCTGGAAGACTGCCCTAAGGAAAATTAATAATTTAATTTCATTCATGACAATGCTACAGGTGTCATCAAATATGACAAATGTTAGATAAAAGGGCTAGTGAGGACTAAGCAAATGTAAACTAGGAACATCAGATCTAGTTTTGAGGGTCTTCCCTTTGGAATCAGAGACTGAAAAATGAAATGTGAAGGGAGAGTGTGGTGAAAAGCCTTCAAGAAAGAGGAAAGGAGTATGAGGGAAGCACCCCTGGTTGCTGGAGAAGTATGAATAAGAAAGTACCTAAAGAAAGCTATTGTCACATTTCTAGATGGCAAATAGAGAGGCATCTTGAGGGATGGTGCTTGAAAAATAAAACAAGCTCTCAAAGAATCAAATAATAATTATTCTTAGCATAATAATTCTGGGGTTTTAATTTCATAAGATTCAGGAACAGATCAATGAGAAAAATATGTTTTGTTCTAATATGACTGAGGCCTACTTATGTCTTAGAAAACCTAGTGAGAAATTTGGCTACAAATTTCACTAGTGGGGTGATTCAATTAGAATAAAGTGGACCCATTTCCTCTTTC